ACAGCATGTGTAGAATTATTATATGTCACGATGGGAGTTTGATCTCAAAGGGGCGCCATCATCTTGTCTTGGCTGCTGATGATGTACATCTTCTTCATCTCCATTTTCAAGTTCTGAGCTGCTGGCCGGCTTAGCCCCATTTGAAATGAGGTTCTTGAACCAAGAACCTTGAAACCTTGGACTTCCCCTGGCCGAGTTTCCAGAAGATTCTGAGGAAACAATTGAGTTATTGGATGCGACTCCAGCTAGAAACCGATAAGCCACCTTGCTGGCCGTTACTATTTCAGTTTTGGCTTGCCTAAACTGGGAAAGGAAAAAAAGTAAAAAGAAAACCATATTTATTACAGAAAAAGCTTTAGATATACACAAGTTTGGCGGATAACTGTATAACTACATCCAAACATTAGCTTACTTACAAAGAACTCCATTTATCTTTCCAAATCACAAGTATTATTTCTTCAATGTTGCAAACATCCCGTTGACGTTTGAATTTAGTTAATGGAAGGTAAAAAGCAATAACACCAAATCCCAGCACCACACCCCGAAAATAAAAAGTAAAATATATAATTCTAGGAAAAAAAAAAGCAATAATATTTGAACATCAGGGCTAGTATTCATACTTAACCCTCCCGCAGAAGAAAACAGGCTGTATACGAAAGGTATCACAAGCTCACATTTGAATTCTCACAGAAGATTTCTTAATCATGCTTAGATAGCCCAGAAGTCAAATGATATTCCTTCTAGTCCATTTTTGTTCGTAATATGCAATCGTGTACTTGGCTCGATGAAAAATGTTTCCCCAAAATTAAAAACAAATAGAATAAAAACTAAACAGATACAATTAATGATCAAACAAAGTTATAGCATGAACAAAGAATCATACCCGATAGGCAGTGTTTCCAGCTATCTCGACAGCAGCATCTCCAGCGTGTGCAAACCTGTTGACCCAACCTGTTACAGAGCTTAAAGGTTCAAAATAGTAGGAGAATCTACCGTGTCACGACTTTGAGAAATCGAACTGTGAAATAAGACTAAATGACAAATCTTCTGCATGTAAAAACCACAGTACACACAAACACGGGGTAGGGGGATTATGCATCTCAGAGAGAGAGAGAGAGAGAGAGAGAGAGAGAGAGAGAGAGAGTGGTGGGGTCCTGCAGATTACCAGGAAGCTTTGGTACACCAAGTCTTTCACACAACTCATCACAGAAATGATTACAATTCTTCGACAGCAAATCATATGAGTGCCCCGGCCACTCCCTACTAAGTTCCCTGAGGATCTGATTAACCTTGAAGATAGAGAAGGCTGTTTTCCCAAGCTTGATGCCCTCACGATATGTGTACATTGGATTCTTTGTTGATGGACAGCTGAACACACCAGTACCTTGTTCACAAAACCCAAAGGACCATTCTTCATCTCCATAGATCTGTTCACCAAGTGAAATTCAAGTTAAAGGAGCATAAAACAACTCAGCTAGGTAAAAGTACAGATTCACTTGGTATCATTTGGGAAAACCATCAGCTAGGAATGACTAACATGTAAAATATGTGATAAGCTGCTCAACAGGATAAAAAGGAAGGATGAAAAAACTATTGTATCTTTACATAAACTGATTGATTTCTACTACAAAAGTTAATGGACAGGTGTATGACAGAATGTGGCACTTGAAAGGTACAAATCAATCATAATTACATGCGCATTGTACAATAAAACTCTAATTTATACATTGTTTTGATTATGAATTCAAACAGAGCAGCATTCATGGATTTCTTTCTATTTTCTTTGTGGAACCTCTGTACGAACACCAGTGAATCACTGTTCCACAACTGAAAAACCTAATGACAGAAAATTCCATATATACAACACTGAGCAGCATACCCGACAACTTGTAATATTAACAAGTTGAGTGAATGTCACCATGCAACAAGAAAAAATAATTTTTCCTCTGGTTTTTACTCAATCACATAGTAATATTAATTTCTTGGTTCTAAGGTCGTAAACGGGCAGGCCTAGGGTTAATAGAAACTACAAGATTGCACGAATCAGGTCATCCATGCCAATCTCATTCCGCCAAACCCGAGAAACATGACTGTTAAACAGAAAAAATGAGGGTAAAAAGAATATTCACGAACTTTTCATTAGCTCAACTCAAGATAAAAACCCTCAATTATCAGACAGCTGCAGCAACAATCCAGTTGAGAAACCGGAAGGCCCAGCTATATTAAAATGCTTGAAAGCAACGCAAAAAACTGTCATAATATTTAACAGGCACACAACAGATAGAGATTTAAAACCAAGAAGGTGGCAATCTCATGATGGGATCACAAGAACAAAAACCCAGAAACTAATAACACAAATCTCAACACAACAAAAACCAAATACATTTACTTCAAGACTCGAGCCAAGACCAGACACATGCACGGACCAGAAACTTGAACATTGAATCAATTTCACAGTAAAACCCTAGATCTACTCCACTAACTACTCAATCAACATTCAACAGACGAGAAACCCTAGATAATTCATAAAGCGAAGAAAAAAAAAATTATACAATTAACTCAAATTACTAAGCATCACAGGCATAAATTGATAAAAGAAAAGTAGGGATCTACGAAAACCTGAACAGCGCTGTGAAAAATCCCTCCGAGTCCAATTCCATCTTTGAAGATCTTGTTGATCTGCATAATAGTGTTGTTGGTTTTATCGTTCCCACTATTAGTGACATCGTAAATATGGAGGATCACCTCCGTCATCCTCAAATTCAATCTTCAACCACACAGTTGTGACCCTAAAACATACACCCGCAAAACCCAACTCTCGCGCTCTCCTAGTTTCTCTATCTACTGTGTGTGTGTGTGTGTGTGTGTGTGTGTGTGTGTGCGGGTCCTCAAGATTTCTACTTTAATTTGAAAATAGAAAATAAAACGTGATAAGATTGACTGTGTTCTTGCTGGAATCACAGAGCAATGATTGTGCAAAATGGGGGAAACATGCACTTTCCTTTCTTTGCGATAAATTGCCGAAAGAGGGAAAAAAAGGGGTCCAATTCTCAAATATGTCTGAGTTGGAGGGGCTTATATGTAAACGAAAGAGAATTTGTTCTGTTATGAACATAATATATTGATAATTACTTCGCACTACAATAACCTTCCCTTTTATTTCGTTCGACATATTGAATGAAACTTTTTAAGATTTTTGGATTTATGATGATTTATCCTAGTAATATATAATTTTCAAATGCGATGAGCATTTCCAAATGCGATGAGCTTAGGTGGCTCTTTTTGGTACTTTGGAAAAGAATCATGCTTTAAGTTTGGATAAATAATATTAATATATTAATAATTAATAATCTAGATTCGGGTATTCCATAAATATTATTTAACTAACTTAGGTATTTTAATATCGTTTTTACTAATATAACCCTTTAATTCTTTGTAATTTTACATAGTGAGGCACTAAGTGACTAATATGTCCCTGAATTTTGATTTGTTTCTTTCAATAAGCTATTGAATTATAAATGTGTTTTAAAAGTTGATAACTTTTGTATTTCTTATCGTTTTTACATATATAATATATCAAATTAATCATCTTTTCATGATCTTCGATTTGACATCCATATTGTATATATGAAATAAATAAATTATATTTATCTTTATAATAATAAAAT